AAAGGACAATCTCTTCACTAAATGGTCCTAAGGAAACTGGACATCCATATGCAGAAGACTGAAACTAGACTCTCTTCCTCCACACACCTTACCCTATACAAAGTAAGCCAAACATGTAAATGTAAGACCTAAATGTAACAAAACTGACAGGAAACTATAAGACACTGAAAACACAATGCTTTTGGATAAGATCCCACAAGTTTGGGCAAGAAAGCCCAAATACACAAATTTTATATCAACTAAGAAGATTTCTCAAAACAAAGGGAACAATTCCAAGTGAAGATATAATCAACAGAATGGGATAGAACATTTGCAAACTATTCATCTGACAAAGGACCGATACCCAGAATATACATGGAACCGGGAAAACTACACAATAATAGCAACAACAGCAAACAATATATTTAAGAATGAGAAAGGACCTGAATGTGCATTGCTCAGAACAAATACAAATAGTCAACAAATATGTGAAACAATGTTTAATATCACTAGTCATTAGGGAAATGCAGATCAAAACACACTGAGGTGTCTCCTCACTGCAAAAAGACAAAAATAAGAAATGCTGATGGGGTGTTGAAGAAAACCCTTGATGGGGAGGCACTATTGCTGAGCAGCTGCTATCTGTAGTGCCATCATACCATGTGGGCACCAGTTTGAGTCTCCACTGCTTCGCTTCCAATCCAGCTCCCTGCTGATGTGCCTGGGAAAGCTGTGGAAGATCGCCCAAGTACTTGGGCTCCTGCACCCATGTGAGACACCTGGAAGAAGCTTCTGGCTCCTAGCTTTGGGCTAGCCCAGCCTTGACCACTGTCACCATTTGGGGAGTGAACCAGCAGATCCTCAGATGGAAGATATCTTTCTCTCTCTCTCTGGGTGTGTGTGTCTCTAACGCCTTCAAATAAATAAATAAAATTTTTTTAAGTTAAGGGGAAAAGAAGAAAACCCTTATACACCAGTGATGAGAAAGCAAATTAGTCTGGGCATTCTGGAAAAAACTATAGTCATTCTTCAAAAATAAAATCAGGCCGGCGCCGCGGCTCACTAGGCTAATCCTCCGCCTAGCGGCGCTGGCACACCGGGTTCTAGTCCCGGTCGGGGCGCCGGATTCTGTCCCGGTTGCCCCTCTTCCAGGCCAGCCCTCTGCTGTGGCCCGGGAGTGCAGTGGAGGATGGCCCAGGTGCTTGGGCCCTGCACCCCATGGGAGACCAGGAAAAGCACCTGGCTCCTGGCTCCTGCCATCGGATCAGCGCGGTGCGCCGGCCGCAGCGCGCTGGCCGCGGCGGCCATTGGAGGGTGCACCAACGGCAAAGGAAGACCTTTCTCTCTGTCTCTCTCTCTCTCACTGTCCACTCTGCCTGTCAAAAAAAAAATAAATAAATAAAATAAAATAAAATAAAATAAAATAAAATAAAATAAAATAAAATCAATCTACCCCATGGCATAGCTAACCCACTTCTGGGTAGTTATCAGAAGGAAATGAAATCAGCATATCAAAGAGATATCTGCCCTTCCATGTTCACTACAGCAGTAGTCAGAGTACCCAAGATACAGAACCAATCTAAGTGTCTATCCATAAATGAATGGACAGCCATAAAAAAGAAAAAAGAATATTGTTATTTGTTGCAAAATGGATGGAACTGGAGTCATTAAGTGAAATAAACCAGACATAGAAAAATAAATGTCATGTGTAGTCTCTCTCATGTGCAAGTTTTAAAAATAATGTATCTGAACTTACAACTGCAACTACTAGATTGGGAAAGGTGAGGGATCTACAGAGAGGGAGATCAGCTAACAGGTACTAAAATACAGTTATGCAGAAATAGCAAGTTTGAGTGTTCCATAATACAGCATGGTTACTATAGTTCACGATATGATATACTGCATAAAGAACTGGAAGAGATGAGCTGGTATGACCTAAACAAGCACAAAAAATGGAAAGGCTAGTTGCTTGGCTTGATGAGTTTATGTTGCATATATGTGTTCAAATGTTAAACTGCATAATAATATACACTATAACTATATTATAAATAATAATATACAAGCAGTACATGTTAACAAAAATCATTTAAATAAAATTTTAAAATACCTATATACTAACAATGAGGTATCTGAAAAAGAAATTAAGAGACAACTCCATTTACAAAGCACAAAAACTAATTAGGAGTCATTATCTTATAGGACACAGATCCTATATTATATTGTCCTTAATTATAGATTAAGAAGTCAAGGTTGCCTTTCCAGTGAACTTTCAGCTCAACCCTTACATGATTTATAATTAGTTTACTTGGTATCCTTTAAATGCCAGTATTAGAAAACCAAACCTGAGGGGCTGGCACTGTGGCTTAGCAGGCAAAGCTGCTGGTTGCAATGCCAGCATCCCATATGGGCACCAGTTCGAGACCTGGCTGCTCCACTTCCAATCCAGCTCTCTGCTATGTCCTGGGAAAGCAGTACAAGATGGCCCAAGTCCTTGGGCCCTTGTACCCACTTGGGAGACATGGAAGAAGCTCCTGGCTCCTGGCTTCAGGTTGGCGCAGCTCCGGACATTGTGGCCATCTGGGAAGTGAACCAGCAGATGAAAGACCTCTCTCTCTCTCTCTCTCTGCCTCTCTTTGACTCTGCCTTTCAAATAACTAAATAAATCTTAAAAAAAAAAAAAAAAAAGAAAGAAAGAAAGAAAGAAAGAAAACCAAACTTGAACCTAGATGGAAGGCTAGTTATACTGTTTTTGTTAAGATTTCTTTGTTCAGTTGAAAGGCAGAGTGGCAGAGAAGGAGACAAAAATCTTCTGTCTACTGGTTTGTTCCCCAAAGGCCTGCAAGAGATGGGTCTAGGCCAGGCTGAAGCCAGGAGCCAGGGACACTTTCTGGATCTCCCATGTGGGTGGAATGTACCCAAGTACTTGGACTATTGCCTACCTCCTCCCAGATGCACTAACATCAAACTGGATTGGAAGTGTGGAGTAGCCAGGACTTGACTGAGGCACAGCGATATGAGATGTGGATATTCCAAGTGGTGGCTTAACACACTGCACCACACCACATAGTTACTTTATAGTGTTTACTCATTGTTAATACTGCTGACCAATTACAGGCAAGGTGTTCAACCCGGGATTAGTTTAAAAAACAGGCTTAGGGTTGGTGCTTAGCCTAGTAGTAAGGGTTCAACTTGTGGCTCTTCCTCCTGACTCCAGCTTCACATTAAGGCAGATACTGGGAAGCAGTGGTGACGGCTCAAGTCATTGGATTCCTGCCACCCATGTGGAAAACCTGGATTGAATTCCTTTCTCCCAACTTTAGACATGGCCTCTCACTGTAGTTCTGGGCATCTAGAAAGTGAACATGTAGGTAAGACTTTTCTGTCTCTCAAATAAATAATCTACAAAAAAGAATTCATCAGACAAAAAAAGAGCAATATACATGTTGATGTCTGATCACATAAAGAGAAAAGTATTTCAAACCAATTAAATGGAAATACAACAAAATACTTTATTTCCACATGACCTAACAGAAAAATTCTAAAATATTTATTAAAATGCTAATATCAATGATGTACTGGGTTATTACAACTTCTGATCACTAAAAGGAATGACAGAAATTGTATACAGGATAGGAGGGAGGAACTGTATTATAAGGTGCCCACACTCACACTACCTAAAAAATAGTATAATGTTATCTAAAAGTGGGTTGAAGTTATCTGAAAATGTACATTGCAAACTTTAGGGAAATTGCCCAAACAATTTACAAAACACATATCCCTGATATCCTAATAGAAGAGAGAAAATGGAATCCTACAGAAATCTCAATTAAAATGAGAACAGAGGTGTTGGCATTTGGCATAGTCAATAAGAGGCTATTTTTAACTTCCATCATCATACATTACAGATACTATGTAAATAAATAAATGAATAAAGAAAGAAAGAAAAAGAAAAATAGGGAAAATTTAAAAAAACAAGCATGGGTCCTTGCTCCACTCCCATCTCCAATTTCCGCTAGGATACACCTGGAAGGAAGGAGATGATCAAGTACTTATGGCACTGCCATCTCAATCTGGGACATACATTAAGTTTCTGGCTTCTGTCGTTGGCCAGGCCCAGACCCATTTCTTGTAAGCATTTGGGAAGCCAATCTTCAAAAGGTATCTACCTCTTTCTCTTTTTCACTGTGTGTTTCTCTTTCATAAATAAAATAAATGTATAAACATTTTTAAAAAAATAAAGTGAAGGGGGCCAGCACTGTGGCACAGTGGTTTAACGCCCTGGCCTGAAGTGCCAGCATCCCATAATGGGCACTGGTTCAAGACCTGGCTGCTCCACTTCCAATCCAGCTCTCTGCTATGGCCTGGGAAAGCAGTACAAGATGGCCCAAGTCCTTGGGCCCCTGCAGCCACGTGGGAGACCCGGAAGAAGCTCCTGGCTTTGGATTGGCACAGCTCCGGCCGTTGCGGCCAATTGGGGAGTGAACCAACAGATGGAAGACCTCTCTCTCTCTCTCTCTCTTTCTCTCTCTCTCTGCCTCTCCTCTCTATGTGTAACTCTTTCAAATAAGTAAATTAATCTTTAAAAAAATAAATAAATAAAGCGAGGGACTGGCACTGTGACATAGCAGGTAAAGCCACCACCTGCAGTGCTGGCATCCCGTATGGGCGCCAGTTTGAAACCCAGATGCTCTACTTCTAATCCAGCTCTCCGCTATGGTCTGGGAAAGCAGTACAAATGGTCCAAGTCCTTGGGCCCCTGCACCCACCTGGGAGACCCAGAAGAAGCTCCTGGCTCCTGTCTCCCCACCCCCATCTCTGCTTCTCTGTAACTCTGCCTTTCAAATAAAATGTATTTTTAAAAATAAATAAATAAAGTAAAAGAAAACTAGCAAAATTTAAAAACAACACAAGCATGGTGTTTGTTGCAGCAGTTAACACACCAGTTATGACCACATCCCATACTGGAGTGCCAGGTGTGAGTCCAGCTGCCAACTGTGATCCAGCCTCCTGCTAATACATACCCTGGCAGCAGGTGATGGCTCAAGTACTTGGATATCTGCCACACATAGGAGACCTGGATTGACTTCTTGGCTTCTGTCTTTAGCCTGGCCTAGCCACCGCTGTTGAAGGCATTTTAAGAGTGAAACAGCAGATGGAAGAGTTTTCTCACTCTCTGTCTTTGAATCTCTGTCTTTCAAATAAATAAAAATCCATAAACAAGACATTCTTAAACAAAGTAAAGACATAAAGTAATTAGAAGCATTTTACATATCGATCCAACTAAATTAATAATTGTTTTAAAGGTACATTAACTAAATACAACAATTGAAAGAAACTGACAGAGGAAGATTAAAGCCAAGACTCAACTCTGTGTTATCTAATGGAAAACCATTTAAATATAAAGACATATAGAGGGGATCTGAGGCCATTTTGGTCAAAGAAAAACTCATTTCATTTGCATAGGAGGAATAAGTATAAGAGGTCTGTTGAACAACATGGTAACGATAGTTAATGAAAACGGGTTTCATTGGGGCTGGCGCTGAGGCACCAACATGTCATATGGGTGCTGGTTCAGGGACCAGATGCTCCATTTTTGATCCAGCTCTCTCTGCTTATGGCCTGGGAAAGCAACAGAAGATGGTCCAAGTGCTTGGGCCCCTACACCCATGTAGGAAACCCAGAAGAAGCTCCTGGCTTCAGACAGGCCCAGCTCTGGCCAGTGCAGCCATTTGAGGAGTGAACCAGAGGATGGAAGACTTTTCTCTCTGTCTTTACCTCTCTGTCTTTAACTCCACCTCTCAAATAAATAAATAAAATCTTTAAAAAGAGAAAAAAAGCACATGAGTTAAGTACCTTTAAAAAATAGTTTCTACTATGGAAAATAACTAAGAAATGAGATTTTAAATATCCTCATTATGAAAAACAATTATATGATGTAATACACATGGTAATTGGCTTGACTTATATATCAACACTATATAAGTATTTCCAAAAATCATTTTAGTGCTAAATACATTCAATTTCTGTCAATGTAAGATACACACACACACACACACATATATATATATATTTAAAAGACAAACATAGGCCGGCGCCACAGCTCAATAGGCTAATCTTCCACCTGCGGTGCCGGCACACCGGGTTCTAGTCCCAGTCGGGGCGCTGGATTCTGTCCCGGCTGCCCCTCTTCCAGGCCAGCTCTTTGCTGTGGCCCGGGAAGGCAGTGGAAGATGGCCCAAGTGCTTGGGCCCTGCACCCCGTGGGAGGCCAGGAGAAGCACCTGGCTCCTGCCTTCAGATCAGCACAGTGCGCCGGCCACAGCGCGCCAGCCGCGGTGGCCATTGGAGGGTGAACCAATGGCAAAGGAAGACCTTTCTCTCTGTCTCTCTCTCTCACTGTCCACTCTGCCTGTCAAAAATAAATAAATAAATAAAAAAGACAAACATAAACATAGATAGACTAAAAATATGCAGAAAAACAGTCCATTATTACAGCAATCCAGTGAAGCCTGGATTGGTATCTATTTCAGATTAATCAGGATTTAAGTAACAAGGGTTATACAGTAAGACTGCAGGCCATTCTCCAAGAAAACAATGCTTTTGCCAGTAGCCCTAAAAATTTCCTATGTAAGGAAAACAAGGTTATAGAACTGTAAGGAAAAGTACAGATTCACCAGCAGTAATCAGTGAAAATAAATACAACAGAAAAATACTCAAACAACGGTAATTAATAGTTAACAGTATGTAATCATATGAATGCTACATTGGAAAAATAAATAAGGCCATTCCAAGTGTTGGCAAATCACAAAATAAATAAATACACATGAATGAATGGCACACAGTTAATTTATCTACTGTACAAACACTTCCTGATAAATTTGTATTTATCCACAACCTACAACTTAACCATATTTTCTCATTATGTGAAAAATTTATTCTGAATTAGCACATGGGGAACAAAAATCAAGAAGCATAGTGTCTCCAACATCAAAAAATAAACATGAAGTAAGGCAAGTCCCAGTGAGTGTATTGAAGCAGTGAGTGTATTGGCTGAGTCACAGCCTTAGTTAGCAGCATGTATATACACGACCAGGGAAAAGGATGGAACAAATGATTTAAGCATAATACAATACCCAATAGCAATCTCTTGAACATTCTGAATATGCAAAATCCTGTTGGGTGATATGGAAGTTAAGAAATAAAGAATATAAAAAAGAATCAGGACTTGGTCACCTCTGTGGACAGAGGTAGATTAGGAAGACATCGGAACTGACCAAGGCCCACTCCTTCTTCACCTGAGTAATCACTGTGCATGTTTACATTCATATGTAAAGAATTCAATTCTTTTTTCAGATATTATTTAATAAACAGAGGTTCAATATAACAAAATAATCCAACACTCAAGTCATGGCACATACTTTCTACCTAAGTGGACAAAGTGTACATAAAAGGCAGCAAGTTTCCACAAAGGTCGTGAAGGAGAACCAGCTCTGGGAAAGAGCCTCCCTACCCCACAGCTCACAGGGGACCCCACACTCAGGTTAACCAGATCCCCAGGCCACTTGGGCTGAGGGCCCTTGAATGCTCCCCTTCCTACTGCTTCTTTTAGGAAGAATCAGGGGCTGACACGTCACAATGCTAGGTACCTGCCCACTGGGCCATCTTTAGTCATCATCCACAACACAAGACAAGGAAAGAGAAAAGGGAGTTTCCAAGGGGAAATCTCAAGATATCTACTTTACGCACATGAAAGATGTATAAAGATTTTTAAAAATTAATCTAGTTCTATTTATTTAAAATGTAGAGTTATAGAGAGATCTTCCATCCAATGGCTCACTCCCACAAGCCTGCAACACCCAGGGCTGGACAAGGCTGAAGCCAGGAGGCTGGAATTAATCCCTTTCTCTCACGTGGGTGGTTGGGACCCAAGTACTTGAGCCATACTCTGCTTCCTCTTAGAGTGTGCATTAGCTACAAATTGGATTGGAAGAACAGGTAATCAAATCAGGAAATTCTGATAGGGATATGGGAGTCCCAGGTAGCAATTTAGTCACTAGTGCAAACACCCAGTCTGGAACAAAGATTGTTTACACTGGAGTGTCAGGTAGGCATTCTTTGTTTCTCTTATGTGAAATGTTCATAGAGAAACACTTTGAAGGGTTACTGATTTTTCTGTGGAAAAAAAGACAATATTGTTTTAAAAACAGCATTTTCACAAACTGAAAAAAATGTGTCATGGAGCAAACAGCTGATAGTGTTATGAACTTCAGGGGGCAGTGGTATTTGGGGGGTGGGGTGGGGATCTGAACATTGAGAGAGCTTTTTCCAGACTTACCGTGCTTTATTACATGGTCTATCCCCCTCTGAAACTCAAGGGGATATTTAATGCCAATTAAATTAAGAAGTGAAATTTTGCAAGGAATCGTCCATATTAGTCCATTCATAGGATTAATGTGGTAATCTCCAGGGGGTCTGTGTAGAACCCACTCTGCATCAGTCTCCAGCACGCCCTGTCTTTGGCCACGTGATCTCTGAGCCATCCTGGGCCTCTGCCAACAAGAAAGCCATCACCAGATGCTGCCTCACCTGGGACAAAAATATTGAGCCAAATCACACCGATTTTTGTATGTCTCACCCAGTCTGTTACACTTGTAATAAAGACAGAAAGACCCTAGGGAGAGTACTCTGAGAGTACTGTGTTGCAGACATCAGATCCTGTTTCCCGACCCGGGGATCGCGTCACTCCTGGGAGAGGTGGGACGGAGGCCTCCACCGCTCCCAGCTTCTCCCCGCATGAATCCCACACAGCAACCCCAGAATCTGGCTGAGGGCCCTCCCGGGCTCACCGCACAATTCGGGAAGACCGGAGGCTCGGGGACGGAGCCCAGCTCGCTGCGGCAGGAACCGACAAGACGCCAGCGTCCCGCCGCCGGCCCCGCCCACACCCTGGCGGCCTCAGGCACGGGGCCCACACTCACCATTCTCCGTTTCTGAGGCCTGCGGGCGTCCTCCTGAGGAGTCGGTCGTGCAGAGAGGGAAGTCCACAGAGCAGCAAGGACTGAGGCTCCCGGGCCGCTCCCGGGTCGGGGCTGGGAAGAGAGAATGGCTGCCGCGGAGAAAAGAGCCGTTGGCGCGGAGCTGCCAGGAGCCTGCACACAGCCAGTGAGCACGCGAGGTGGCGGAGACTCGGCCATTCAGAACGGCCCCTGCAGGAGCGGCCGCTGGGGGTTGCGCTCCGCGCGCGGATGGAGGCCGGGCTGGGGCTCAGAGCGGAAGCTGCGTCATCTTCCCGGGACCTCCCCCCCGGGGTGAGGACCCTCTCTGATGACGTCCCGCCTCCCTGCCACTCATCCTGCCTCTGATGACGTCCCGCCTCCCTGCCACTCATCCTGCCTCTGATGACGTCCCGCCTCCCTGCCACTCATCCTGCCTCTGATGACGTCCCGCCTCCCTGCCACTCATCCTGCCTCTGATGACGTCCCGCCTCCCTGCCACTCATCCTGCCTCTGATGACGTCCCGCCTCCCTGCCACTCATCCTGCCTCTGATGACGTCCCGCCTCCCTGCCACTCATCCTGCCTCTGATGACGTCCCGCCTCCCTGCCACTCATCCTGCCTCTGATGACCCCCCGCCTCCCTGCCACTCATCCTGCCTCTGATGACGTCCCGCCTCCCTGCCACTCATCCTGCCTCTGATGACGTCCCGCCTCCCTGCCACTCATCCTGCCTCTGATGACGTCCCGCCTCCCTGCCACTCATCCTGCCTCTGATGACCTCCCGCCTCCCTGTCACTCATCCTGCCTCTGATGACGTCCCGCCTCCCTGTCACTCATCCTGCTGGGATCTTGTGACAGAGGCTGGTGGTTCACGTCCTCACCCGAGTTAGAGTTCCCCGAGAGTTTCCTGGAGTCCACGCCTTTTCTTTACCCGCGTGGATTATTTTTCTGTTGGGTTATCTGAGTTTTTTAATACTGGTTTCAAGAGTTCATTAACGTTTCTGTGTCTCATTTCTCTCATTGATATTCATTTCTTAGTTGATATTTTATGCTTTAAAATTATTCCATTTCTTGGTACTACACACTAACACCCTTAATTATATAGATTACTCTTGTACCCAGTAATCTTGCTTAATCCTCCTGTGAGTCTGTATTTGTTTTTATGTTTATATACAATCACATGACAGTGTCATCCACATATATCGACAGTTTTCTGGCTTAAAAATTGAGCCTTCTCCCTGATATTACCTATTTCCTGTTTAGTTTTCCTGACTACACCTCCAGAACGATTTTGAAGAGAGAGTGAGAAGAGGGAACCTTGTCCAGGTCTATTCCCAGGGAAATATGTATTTCAATGTTCTGTGTTTATTATGCTGTTTGTTATGAGTTTATTGAAGGCGACTTTAATCATAATGAAATTTCTCTTTTTTATTATTCTGCAAAAAATTTCATTTGATGCTAAACACCGAATTCCATTAAATACATTGTAACATTTAATCAAAATGAGCATGTGATTTTCCTCTTGTGGTTTTCACTCACATGAATGATTTACATGATTTAAATAATTTTGCTTGTTCTGTACATATATGGCTAAACAAAACTATTTTGCTTAAAATATTTGTGTCTGTATAAAAAGATTTTTTTTATGTTCCTTTGTGTTCCATGTCCTGATCTGACCATGTCATCTATGGAATGCTGAATTCAGAAATAAAAGTCAACATATTTCCTGCTTATTGTCACTGTGAGGAAATCTGGGGAACTGAGAAAGATTTTTTTTCCCGAAAGTTTGGAAGGTTCTATAAGTCTGGACCTGAAATTTTGCTTGTGGAATTTCACTGCTTATTTCTTATTTTGATGCAAACATTGACTTATTATTTGCACACTCTGTAATAGTTTAGTAGAATTATACAAACACATTTTACCCATCCACAATATTCAAAAAAAGAGCTTGCATTTCTATAGCTTATAGAAAAAAATTGTTTATGTTCAATTATATGAAGGAGCATATTTTTCTGGTTTGAAGTAGTATGATGTACACAGTTTTCTAGCAGTTTTTCTTGTTTCTTTTTACAGCATCATCTTTGCTGAACTTTTGCAGATGGCTGCTCAATTTTAATTTATTTCCCTATTTGATAACATTAGTGAGTCTGATGTCAGCTTTTCATTTGTTTTGCTTTTGTTTTTTCTTCATGTAATATTGGTGAAGGATTCAGGAATATGACATAAAGGTGGACTGAACATTAATTTTGTGCGTTATTTCGGTTTTTGTAACTACAAAGCTGTTTTTATATCTTTATGCTGTGTTTTAACACTTTGTAGTACTTAGATTATTTTGCTAGGAAAAAAAATTGCTCAAGTATAAAAGTAGTTTCATACTGTGCACTTACTCCTCATGTAGGATCTCTGTCCTTAATGTGCTGTGTATTGAGATTTAATGCTATAACGAGTACTCAAACAGTATATTTCACTTTGTGTTTCTATGGGGGTGCAAACTGTTGAAATCTTTACTTAATGTATACTAAACTGATCCTTTGTATAACAAAATAAAAAATAATAAGGAAATTATCAATTCCCAACTTGACTCTCACTGGGATTAAACATGACAATAGGTCTGATCTGATTTCATCATCATTTAAAAAAAATCATCTATTATTTTTCACTTTATGTTTCTGTGTGGGAGCAAACTGTTGAAATCCTTACTTAATGTATACTAAGCTGATCTTCTGTATATTAAGATAATAGAAAATGAATCTTGATGTGAATGGAAGGGGAGAGGGAGTGGGAAAGGGGAGGGTAGTGGGTGGGAGGGGCAGTATGTGGGGGAAGCCATTGTAATCCATAAATCGTACTTTGGAAATTTATATTCATTAAATAAAAGTTAAAAAAAAGAAAAAAAAATTTACAACATAAAAAAAAAGATCAAATCTCAAAATGCCAATTTAACCCAGCACCAGGCTGTTTGTCACTTCCATGTAGTATGCCTTCTTTGTTGTTGTTGTTTAATTGATGTGCCTATTCAGAGTCTCTTGTGTTTCAGTATAAATTTTAGCATCGTTTTTCTAGATCTGAAAAGAATGTTGTTGGCATTGCTTTGAATCTGTGAATTGATTTGGGTATTATGATATTTTAATTATATTAATTCTTCCAATCTAGAAGCATGGAAGATTCTTCCAGTTTTTATATCTTATATTTCCTCCTTTCATGTTTTGTAATTTTCATCATAGAGATTTTTCACCTGGTTGGTTAAATTTATTCCGTGGTATTTAAATGTTTTGTAGCTATTGTGAATGGGACTGATATTACAAAATTTTTCTCAGCCATGGCATTGTCTGGGTAACCAAAGTCTATTAATTTTTCTGGGTTAGTGTTATATCCTGTAACTTCACCAAACTCTCTTTGTGAGTTCTGATAGTTTCTTAGTGTATTCTTTTGTTTTTGTTTCCACTATACATAGGATCATGTCATCTGCAAATAGGGATAATCTGACTTCCTCTTTTCCAACTTGTATCCTTTTGAATCTCCTTTCTTGACTAATAGCTCTGGCTAAAGCTTTCAGAACTGCACTGAATGGCAATGGTGAAAGTGGACATCCTTTTGTGGTTCTGTATATTAGTGGAAATGCTTCCAACTTTTTCCCCCATTCCAGAGGATGCCAGCTGTGGGTTTGTCATATATTGCCTTGAGTGTGTTAATAAATGTTTCTTCTATTTTCCATTTGCTTATGGTTTTTAACATGAAGTGTGTTGGGCATTGCCTAAAATCTCCATTACAGTATGTTGCCTGGCGGATGTTTGAGGGCATGTCTGTGGCCGCTGTGGTTAAGCTATATAAGATCAGACCACTGGCAGGGATAGGTCTGCTTTAGTTCCGGACACGTGGACAGTGTGTGATCCCTGTACTTTGCTTAAGACGCCCCTGTGCATGCTCCACCCATGCCTGCTTGACCTTTTCGCTGATTGGCTCCCCTACTGTGCATGTCTTTTGTAAGCTGTATAAACCTGCATACTTCTTCAATAAAGTGGTTCCTGCTTCGACAGAAAAAAAAAAAAGTAGTTTCATTCATATTAAGACAGTATACAAAACTATAAGTAAAATGAATACAGTGAATTATCTTTAAAAAAAAAACATTGATTCAGCGTATTTAGTTCATATAGAAGTTTCCTATCATGAAGTATATGGGTTTGGTAAATTGATTTCCAAAATTTGATGGCTTTTGGTCTCTTTTTTTGAAATCTTACCCTTAGGTATTTCAGAAAATCTTCTATCTGTAAAAAAATAATTCTTTTTGACTTCTGAAATGGGTAATTGGTGTTACATTTTTCTTTAAGGGCTTTTATTATTTTTAATTAAAATTTTAAATAGCTTTTTTCCTTATTTGTTTCTGTTGAAGATTTTACTACTACAACCTTACCACAGACATTTCCTTAATGCCTGTCTCTATTTTTCCTTGCCGTTATTGAATCTTTTACTGGATAGCACATTTTCGTTCTTAAGAAGGGAGCCAGAATGATTGTTTTTCAGTCTTCTCACATATTCCCTTAAGACTATGAATTTCCTCTAAGAATTGATTTATATAACATCTCCTATTTCCAAATCCTGTACCTGCAGGCCTTGTCTGATTCCCAGGGTCCACAGTCCCACATTCCTATAGCTATGCGTGGCTTTGTGTATCTCTAATCTTGTTCTTGGAACTCATGTTATCTGTAGTTTCAACGTCTCATGAGGCTGGGACCCATGTTTGTCTTTGTATGATTTTCATGTTAAAAGTCTTTTTCATCAGGCCAACACTTAAAAGCCACTATTCCTTGTTCCAGCAGCTTGTACCAGCTGCATGAGTCTCCCTCCATTTTATCTGCAGCACTTCTTTCCTAAAGGGCCTCTTTCTCAGGTCCTACATCCCATGCCAATCCTCATGTATCTCCAGACCCTCTGTATGTAGCTGTGATCTTTGCTGAGTGTCTGCCTCCCTGGTCCATACAGTATATGTCAGGACTCCTGTGTTGCCAATCCTTCTGTTTACAGAGTGACTTTGGTCCTACCCTGGATTAACTTAATACCCGGTTTCTAGCTTTTGGAAGCCTTTGAGTGCAACTGTGCCCTTTGCCTAAAGCTGTGGCTTCCTTCAGGTGCCTCCAAGCCATTTACCTATAGGCAGTGTCTTCCTTTGTCTCTGGAAACTGTATGATCCAGCCCCCCCCACTTTCCCTTGTACCCTGATGTCCAGTCTTCACCCTAAGGGTCTTGTGTATTATCATCCCTGTTGTGCCTTAAGTGTCCCCACTTTCTGTGACAGTTTGGTTTTCTGTTCACCAAGGACATCTTGGTTTCAGACAGGTGAAAGCTGTTATGAATAAAATTGC